TACAGAGCATTTGAGTCAAACTGGACCTCAACAGGGTTATTGTGGGGCATTTGAGGCATCATTTGCCCTGCCTTCTCCTCTTCCCCAAGCCAGTCTCCTGGGATGTTGGAATTTTCCTTTTCCTGTGCTGGGAAACTAAAAAAAGGGGTTCTTAAGAGAAAGAACCCAGTCTCTTCCCAGATATGCATAATCATTTCTGCCTGCCGAGGCAGGTCACAGGTATTCATGGGGTTCATGGCTCGAGTGCTTTGTGGCCCAGTCAAGAATCAATCTGATGGAGAAATGCCTGGCTGAGGGGGTGGACCCGAAACACCAACTCTGACTTCCATCTCAAATGCCATTTCTGCCCAGCCCAGGAGTTTCTGGGATAAGCCCTGCCCCATCCACGTCTGCAGAAAATAGGAACCCAAACCCTACTTCCTGGACCTTTCTGCAGAAGGCCGTGGTTGTGACCCTTATTTCTGAATCCAAGGCCCTGCAGAGTTCAGAAAGGTCATTTTTCCAGATTAGCAACTGCTGGGCTACAGGGACCTCTCTGACCTGATGAAGTTGGGTGGCACTAGGGGCCCTGTGTTCTGAGCTGTCTTTCTCATAGGCAGTGGGAGGACACACGTACTCACTGAGCAGCCCCACAGCTCCCTTAAATTCAGGATGCTTCAGGATAAGGAGGTTCTGCTGCCCAAAGACCTGCAGCAAGGCTTGTAAGGGCTCAAACTTTGGCTTCAGGTTCTGGAGATGCAAGCTGTCTAGTGAGAGTCCATCCCTTGACTCCCTGGGTTAGAAGAATAGTTGTGATTTTTTGCTTTCTCACTTCCTCTCTTTATTCTTTTTCCACCAACCTGCGCATGAGAGGTGAGAATGATCCTCTAGGACAGAGGTTGCCAAACTATGGCCCAAGTATTTTTGTAAATAGGGCTTAAGAGAGCACAGGCACGCCTATTTGTTTACATCTTGTCTGTGGCTGCACTCACGCTAGTATGGCCGAGTTGAATAGTTGCAACAGAGACCTTATGGCTCTCAGAGTCTAAAATATTTACTATCTGGCCTTTTACAGCGAAAGTTTGCCAAAATGCTCTAGGAGGTCGGTGGGGGTGGGGGGCAGTTTGTCCTTTTATAGGCGTTCTTGCCCACCCAGAAGTCAACAGGATGACACAGTGAAAGAAAGCATTTGGAGGCTCTGCCAGGCTGGAATACCACACACCCATCCATCATCTTCGATTCTGTCCCCATAGGAGGAGCTTCCGGGGGGCTGGAGAGCCCCAGGGGAGTCAAGTGAGGGTCCTGGGTTACCTCCTGTAGCCCCCCACTCTCAGCACACACCTGGTGCTGCATCAGGGATCAAACCACCCTAATGCCCGCAGCTGGGAAACCCCATCTTGGTTTCTGTTCAGTGTTAACCCGTTCGTAGGGAGCCATGATCTCTCCCCAGCATGACATTTGACTGATTCTTGGGTCTGTTGTCAGAGAAGAATGCCAGGCTAACTTCTGGGGTCACAGGCTCCTAGGCCCTCCTCTTCTCTCCACCCCCAGTGTCGCTTTCTGAAAAATACCTTTGGAGTTGAGACGAGACACATCTGCCAGATCTTACTTAAACTTTTGTGTGTGTCTCAGAGAGCCTCCACCTGCAGACAAAAGCCTTCTTTATCAGAGCCCCAGTCCCCTCAGGGGCTAGGACGTGTTTTCCTTGCAGTTTAGAGCCAGTGTGTTATCCAGATGGCTTTACCTCCCTCTGAAACAAGTTGTACATGCATTTAGAGGCAGTCATTACCTACTGCCTTGTTTTTATTGATGTCTTGTTTTGTCTAGACCAAGCCATTGCTGCAAGGAATCTGGCTGATGGCTGGGCACGGCCTTCTGTAGACCTGCCATCACAGAGTGAGTGGACTGGAGGGCCCCAAGAGGGGCTGAGAGTCAGCCACTTAGTCCTAAGGGATCTTAGTCTTTCAGCTTTGCTTCAGGTTTTTGGCTTCCCTCTCCCAGCCTGAAATGGGAGCTCTTTTGTTTGTTTTTTTGGAATGAGGAATGAATTTCTTGGGTGCTTTCCTGAAAGGAAAGCTGACAGTTCCCCCACAGAAGTGGAAGGTCACATTAAACCATCCTGCTGGATGCCTCGGGTGTCTTTCAAACCCAGAGCCGGACTTGGGAAGAGAAACAATAAAAATGTTGGGTGCTTCCCAGGAATGAGAAGCTGGCGATTCTCCCTGGAGCCCCCCGCTTTTGCACTGTAAGTGCACAGACACTTACAATGATGATGCATGATGAGGATGGTGATGGTGGCGATGGTGGTCGTGATGATGATGATGCCACCTTTCACTTATTTGGAGCAGCATTTCTCAACCCTGGCTGCACATTAGAACCTCCTCAGGCATTTTTTTAAAACACCTTATCAGAACCCCACCCCAAAGCAATGAATTGAGAACTGTAATGGTGAGGCTGGCTCCGCATTGGTGTTTTTAAAAAGCTCCTCAGAATATTCTAATGTGCAGCCAGGGTTGAGAGCCGCTGGTGTGCTTTTATAGCCTCTGTGACTACAAGCGGCTTCTAATTTAATCCTCATGATGGTGCAGTGAGTTTGGTGTTACTACTCCCCTTTCCAGACAGGGAAACTGGGTCCTCAGTGATCCACCAAGGCCTCAAATCCAGGCCTCCTGACTCAGACTACGTCCCATTCTCCCTCCCAGTCCAGCAGCCCGAGAGAAACATAGCTGCCTGGGTTTTAGTGCTTCTGGACATACTCAGCCGCTCACGTGTTCTCACTGCCCTGCCTCCTCACAGCCAGCCCTGGTTGTCTGTTTTTCCTCCTCGAAGATCATTTCGCACTTGTATCCTTCCGTGTTCACTGCATCCTGCCCTCCTTCACACACACATACCCAGATACACCTGTTACTTTTCAGTGAGCTCCGGATAAAAAGTCCAGTTGTCTTTGCCTTGGGAGGTGACTCAGAATCCATTCATTGCACTGGGCAGCTCTCCTCACGGACTCCCAGAATCCATTGCGCTGGTAACTTCACAGAATCCCAGAATCCACTGCACTGGGCAGTTCTCCTCACGGACTCCCAGAATCCACTGCGCTGGTAACTTCACAGAATCCCAGAATCCACTGCACTGGGCAGCTCTCCTCACGGACTCCCAGAATCCATTGCACTGGTAACTTCATAGAATCCCAGAATTCATTGCACTGGGTCACTCTCTTCACTGAATGCCCCTGACCTGGGGCCCCAGGGCAGTCTGGGAGGTGAGACAGCCACATTCCACCACCCAGACTGGGGTCAGGCAGCTGGCAGGGGAGTGAGCAAGGAAGGGTCCACAGCGAAGGGTCCACAGCTCCCTCAGCTGCAGTGAAGTACTCTTTCACTTTATTTACACAAAGGAAGCCGGCTGTCGTCACCAGGGGCAAAGACCATGGTGGTGGCAGCTGCCGTTGCTGCTGACACTTCTAATCCTGGTTGGTCTGATTGGGCCAATATAGGGGAGATGCTATAGCATCCATGCTAATGGCAGTGGGATTTCATCTGGGGCCAACCAGACCTGTGGGGAGTCCTGGGTGAGGGGAGGTCTGTAGGGACCCTGTAGGTGGGGATGACCCTGATGCTCTGTCCGAGGGCAGTGGGGATGGATACCAGCACTTGGGGCTGGATTTTGAGGCAGGAAAGAACAGTGCTACAGGAGCTTGTGTTGCACTGTATTTGAGAGACCTATAGCCTCTTTGTCAGGCTGAACTGGGTTTGAATCCTGACCCCACTGCTTATTAGAACGTGGCCTTGGATAAGTTACTTAATCTCCCTAAGCCTGAATTTCTGCCTCTAAAATGGAGATAATGGTAGTTCTTACCTCAGAGGGAAAATTAATGGGACAATCTAGGTTAAACACGACCATGGTGCCTGTCATTTAATAAGTGCTCAGTGAGTGTTAGTTGTTATTGTTGTCAATATTTCATCCACCAAGTTAGGGAAGAAAGGATGTGCAGAGCCTTTTTGTGGAAACAGGAATCATCCGAGGCTGAGGGTTTCAGGAGGGGAGCTTTCTCCCGAAAATCTGGAAGTAGGGGATCTTTCCCTTCTCCCTCCTCGCTTTCTAGTAGCTGCCCTGAAGGAAGGTCAAGCCCAGCTGCTGAGGAGCATGGCCCATTTTAGCTTTTGTACTCTGTCATCATCTTATATTTTAAATAGAATGCTTCCTGCAGCATGTTCCACAGAGCTCTGCACATAAACTATGTGGTCTGGGCATAAATTAAGTGACAGGGAGAAAACTCAGAGCTAGCAGCAAAGTTTCGCACAGACACACCTGTGAGCACAGATAGATAGATATGTAGATAGATAAAGAGAGACACAGTGTGTCTGCCCCAAGCAAGATGGGGGTGAAGGTCAAGGAGGACAAGGACAGTAAGGGGAAGTCTGGCAGCAGACGCTACCGCTTTCAGTCTCATGGGTCAGAGGACATCTTTTCATGGACCTGGTCCCACCCTGATGGGGCCACAACCCCATCATGAACCTGTTTGGAAAGTAACAAAAGCAGACATAACCTTCCTGGTGATCTTCGTTGCTGCAAAGCAGTTGGTCGGCAAATCTCCTCAAGGGATCCTAAGCTGGTACCCTCGGAAATAATGGCAAGTGACCCAGTAGCTCAGGAGGCCCGGGTGGAAGGCCTGCTCTCCTGCAGATGGGGGCCTAGCTGGCCTGGAGGGCTTCAGAGAGGACCTGCTGAGTGTGAGCTGCTAGGGACCACATCTATCCTAGAAGCCGTTGGAGATATGACCACATCCTCGCTGAGCCAGTTGGGGATGGAGTTTCCAGGACGTCAGTCAGGGAGCGGATCTGACATGGGGGTCCCAGGAATAGTTAAGATCCCCTTGATTCTTGGATATGCAGGAAGTCCACCCAGTGTCTTGACCTTGGCTTCCCAGGCTCTGACTCTACTTTCTGCCTGTTTTGGCCTCCTGGGTCTGCTTGTGCTGTTCTGCAGTATTTATTGGCTCAATCCTACTTTTCTCCTCATTTCAGAAATTCCGGGTAGATATGCCTGGCTCAGGCAGCGCCTTCATCCCCACCATCAACGCCATCACGACCAGCCAGGACCTGCAGTGGATGGTGCAGCCCACGGTGATCACCTCCATGTCCAACCCGTACCCCCGTTCGCACCCCTATAGCCCCCTGCCAGGCCTGGCCTCTGTCCCTGGGCACATGGCCCTCCCAAGACCCGGCGTGATCAAGACCATTGGCACCACTGTGGGCCGCAGGAGGAGAGATGAGCAGGTACAGTTCCGATCAGGAGCACATCGGTGGCTTTCCAGGCCTTATAACACAGTGTTTTTCTGAAGACTGGCAGGGAGCAGGGTCGATGTTCTGGGAGCACTGGGGAGATGAAGGAGCTCAGGACCAGTGGAGGCAGGCTAGAGACCTGAGAGTCAGGCATTTCGCCTGTGTCCCTTAGAATCTGAGTCTTAGTTTCCTCAGCTGCAAAATGGAGATAGGGTCTTGCTGGCCAGGACTTGCTGCCACCCGAATGAGATCATGGTGGGAAAGCACATAGTGAGTGGTGAGGTGTCAGCACATGGGCAGGACTTAGGCCCTGCCTATAGCAGTATCATTCTCTGATACTTGGTACAGGGGCCACAGGGCAAGCAGCCAGTGAACCCTGGCTGGGAGCTTTCTGGGGAGTCCTTAACTGTCTCCCAGTATCTGGTAGATACCCAGCAGTCCTAAAGGCCCCCCCCCTTGTAGACCAGTACTGCCCTACTTCCATTCTCCCTCCATGGTTCAGACCTCCAACTCAAGGCAGGACCCCGTTTCAAGTGCCTGGGATGCACATTCCGGAAGTGGAGGGACTCTGGGGTCTTTGGAGTCTGCTCAGCTGCTTGAGATCCCAGGGCTGGGGATGGAGGTGGTCAGATATCATCAGCCTTTTTTTTCCTCAAGGGGCTCAGCTTTGAGCAGGAGTCAACCTGGTTGAGAGAGATGCCAGCAAAGGGTGGGGCCTCTGCTCTCTAGGTAGCGTCTGCCCAACACTCAAAAGGCCCATTGTCTGTATTAACAGATTACCAGGGCACCGATGGCCCCCTGCTTCCCAAAAGAGAAATCAGAGTCATGCATAATTCCAGAAAGGAGGGAATGAGCCTTCCAAGAGCCCCATCTGTCCCCCTTCACAGATGACACAGCCAAGGGCTGGACACAGCTACCTGGGGCTACTTGGCAAGTGAGTGGGGAAGCGTGGCCTAGAACCAGGCCCCTGGACCCCTGTGTGGTGCTCTTTCTACAACACCATGCCACCACAAGTCTAGGGAAGGGAGACACTTTGGCAGTAGAATCCCTTGTTCAAATGAAATGTTAGCTTGAAGAATTACTTCAGTTACAGCTTTGGAACCCCTCCCCATTTCAACCACTGTCCGCCTCCAATACAAGGACCTTTCAAACGTGGTGCCCAGTGGATAATTGCAGATCCAGTGCCACTAGTCCCCAGGACACTTAGAATCACAAGGGTCACTGCTCTGAGGAACCGGAAGCTTTCACAGGAGCCCCGTTCCTCTGAGGACAAAGCTGGGCCTTGTATCCATTACATGTCGGTTTGTTCTATTAGTGGCAGGGCCCTGTGCAGGGCCAACATGGAGTGGTGTGTGTAATAGACAGTAACAGACACAGCTCCCGGGTGCTGTCGGGCTTCTGCTGCTGAGGCAAGTGGCCAATATCCCCCCTCACTGCTGCTTTCCATACCTGTAGTTATAAATATTGCAGTAGCAGTGATCCTAAGGTCCTCTATAAATGTGCTTCCTTCGGGGATCCCAGGGTGCTAAGCTTTATAGTCACTGATGATTTGGATTCTCCCTGTATGTAAGGGACCCCTGAGTAAGAGCCAGGCTTGTGAGGGACTCTTGGGTTAGCAGGACAACAAAGCAAGATGTGCTGAATACTCGTCATCCTTTTCTGGACCTAGCTCACACCAAATTTAGAAGTTTAAATCTGGAAGAGACTTTGGAGACCAGCTTTTTCTATAATTTTCAATAATTACAGAAAATTCAATAAATTTCCCTCTGCACCTATTTTACAGATGAGGAAACTGAGGCCCAGAAAGAAGGGCCTTGTCCAGGCTCACACAGTGAGTTAGTGGCAGATCCAGGACTGGAATCCGCCTCTTTTGACCTTCAGCCCTGTGGTTTTCCTACCACACCACCTAGGTGTGCCCTAAGACAATTTGGAGAATTTCCTTCCTTTTTTGAGAGGGAAGGAGAGAGCCAGAAGTGTTTTATCCCATGTCAGTTAGGGGTTCAGATGTCTGAAGGTGTCTGGCAGCTTGGAGGAAGCCTAGGTGGCGGCATCCTAAAACCTTGGCTCTTTGGGTTCCTAGCCCCAGGGTCTTTTCTCAGAGGCTCACTTCTGCCTTCCCAGCCTCCCCCAGGGGGAGGAACCTGTTACCAGGGGCTGGCCTGGTGCCTCACTGCCCTCCTCCGTAACCTGCCCCAGAGGCTCCCTCTGAGGCCAGCAGTGGCGGGGAGGGGCGGGTGTGTGTGGCTTGTGGATGGGTACGTGGTGGTGCTGACACACTCAAGTTGTAACCGTGTTGTCACCACCCCTGAACACTTCCTAAGCCAAGAGCTCCCACAAGTTGCCCCACACCTCACCAGATAGGGGCGAGACTTCTAGGCCAAAATTTGTCCAGAAGCAGCCAAGGGGGAACGGGGGCCAAAGTGGACCAGGACCAGCTCTCCATCTTTTCTGCCCCTCATCAGTGAAGGAGGAGGGGGGCTAGCTGGGCCTCAAGGGGAACCCTGGTAGCCTTTCAGTGCTGAGCCCTGAACCCACGACTGCAGCAGGGTTACCCTCTTGGACTCAGGTTGAGACAGGGTTAGGAGTAGCAAGTATTCAGGGCCTTGGCCAAGTGGCCTTGTGACCTCAGCCGATCTCCACAGAGAACAGGGTGCCTGAATCTGTGGACTCTGGGTCTCCAGTTGATTTGCTGCTCAGTGAGTGCAGAAAAGGCATCAGAGAGGAGACCTCTGAATTACATCTTCTTCTTTCTAGCACTTTCTAGTTTAGAGAGGACTCTCACACTGCATCTCATCTGATCATTGCAGAAACTTTGTGGAAGGCAGGGCAGGTCCTATTAACCCCATTTTACAAATGGGGCTCTGAGGCTCAGAAGGGTCAGTAATCTGTCCAAGTCCACCCAGAAGTGCCACATCTGTGTTTGGCTCCTAGCTGCCTGACGCCTCTGAGAAGAGAGACCGTGGAGCCAACGGCTCTTTGGGTTCCTAGGCAGAGGAGGGGGCTTAAGGAGGGAAGTGGAGCTGGGAATGCAGCGTGGACTCCAAGACCGGGTCTCTGGAAGGGGCCTGAAGACTAACAGAGATGCTACCGGCTATCGGATGGGCTCAGGTCAGTGCGCACCACCTGGAGGCTGCTGCAGTGATGCTGTGCCCTGTTCAGTACATCACAGCCACACTCCTTCAAGGCTGCAGGGAGCGTCCTGGGGACTCTGGCCTGGGCCCAGCCCGGGCAATGGCTCCCTCCCTCACAGGATGGCTGGTGGTCCAGGCAGCATCCGTCAGTGGGGCGGCTTCTCTCTTAGCCCCTCCAAAAGTGGCTTTGGCCCTTTCCCCATGTGTCCCTTGAGGGTAGGACTCAGGTATTATTTCCCCAGAATCTTCTAAGCCCCAAGTACTGTACTTGGCGTCTTGTAGGTGTGCCGTCAGTCTGATGACTGAAGGGGTGGTCTGTCCTTTTGAACTGCTTTCTGCCTTGGCCCCCAGCCATCTCCTCACGTCACCTCTGCGAGGGGCTGGTGGCCCTCCTCTGGAGGGGGGGCTCTATGTAAACAGAGTGTCAACCCTGACCGGGGGCGAGCAGAGTTCTTGCCCTCTGGCCTGAGCCACGGGCCCCTAGCCAACCTCAGTGTGAGGAGCTGCAGGGGGATTTGTGTTCATTTGGTCTGTTGACAAACCTCTAACCCCTCAAAGTGTGCCTGGCATGCAGAAGGGCTCGTTGGTTGAATGAGTGGATGTGGTGGGCAGCAGGGTTTAACCTGCCTAAGGGCCCCTCCTCCTTTTGCTGGTCCTGTCCAGCCCGGCACCGTGCCAGGCACACGGGTGAGTCCTCGGCGTTGAAGTGTGAGCAGCCAGCACTCGAGGGCTGGCAGAGGGGCTTGGGAGTAGGGTGGCCCTCCCTCTGGCAACAGAACATGCCCCCCTGGGTGCTTCTTACTCTGGGCCCAGCTACTCAATCACGTGGAGATAATGAGGCTCGCAGTGCAGGCAGGGTTATGGGGAGGAGTAATCAGGCAGAGAGTGGAGGAAGCCGCGTAAGTGGGTGGGGCAGGCCTGGCACGAGGGGACCCTGCGGGAAGCAGTCCCAGCCCGTTCTCTCGGGCCTTGGCACTGAATCGGGGCTGGCCTGACACGTGCTGCCGTCGTGCTTGGGCTGGTGAGTCCCTGACCCATGGCTACCCTGTTCTCCCTTCAAACACGCGACATCACCTTCCAGGGGGTGTTCAGCCCTAAGCGCCCTCCCAGGCGTCCACACAGCAGTGAGCTGCATGTTCTGGGCCTCTGAGCCGCGCTCCTCTTGCCTTCGGCCCTCCCCTCCCCAGTTCCAGAAGGGCTTCCTCTGCTACTTCAAACGCAGTTAAAAGCCAAAAGGATGGCTGAGCCATTTATCCGAGCCTAACCGTGGTCCTTGACCTTGGCCCCTAGCTGTCCCCCGAGGAGGAGGAGAAGCGTCGAATCCGCAGGGAGAGGAACAAGCTGGCCGCAGCCAAGTGCCGGAACCGCCGCCGGGAGCTGACGGAGAAGCTGCAGGCGGTGAGGAGCTCTGCGTGGGGCGGGCCAGAGCAGGGACCCCGGGCTCCCGGCCCTCCCCCTCCTCCTTGCCCCTGGTGGCCGACCCGTGAGTCAGTGCAGACAGAAACACCGCTTCCTTTTAGCGCATGGGTCAGCACTGCCCTGATTAAAGGAGAGGGCTGGGGAGAGGGAGCTGGCCTTTAGCACCAGCCTGGGCCCAGAGAGAATTGGACAGGCTTCTTGGGCCCGGTACCCTTTCCCATTCAGCACCTATGCGATCCCTGCACTGAGACCTGCTGGGGCTCCTGCGTGAGGGATGGCAGAGGGTGTTGGCATTGCCGGGCCCGGGAGCCAAGGCAAGCCCAGAGCTGCCTCCTCTGGGGCTCCTCTTCCCAGGGTGCCTGCCACCAGCGGGAGTGGCCCGGCCTAGCTTCAGCCATCTAGTTTGGGCGGGTGAGCATCGTGGGGAACTGCTCTCTGGGCTCCTTCACCTCTGCAGGGGTTGTGACGCTCTCTAGGTCTCATGGAGGTGGGTCACGTGCAGCTGAGTTGTACTGTCTTGGGGTTTTCTCATATCCTTCGTGGCTGGGAGGGTTCCCTGCCTCTGCCCTGAGCCTGAAGCTGTCACCTTGGTACCTCCTTCTGCCCTTGTGAGTCGTTCTCCCCCGCTGCCTAACTGCCCACACCTGGGGGCCCGTGGCCCTACCCCTCCCTCTCAAAAGCTTGACCTGGCCAACGTCACATAACTCCCTCCAGAGCCCCCCCCTCCACGATGGGCCGTATGCCATGTGGGGGAAACCCAAAGCCAGGACTAAACTCTCCTGGCTGGAATGTGTTCAAAGTGAGGAGATGAGGGAGGCTCCGTTGGCAATCCTTGCAGCGACCAGCCAGGATGGTGCTTTGGAAGTCATTGCCTTGCACATCCTATTACTTTATTTAATCCTCCCAGTTCCCATTCACCTGCTTCTGCTTCCCTTTGTCCATCCTGGAGCCCTCGCTCGTGGGTCTTGAGTGTGCACGGCGTGAATCCCGCGATGCCTGTAGTGGTGCCCTGTGGAGGTGTTAGAGTCGGGGAGGAGGAGTGGCAGTGCTCCGGTGTCACGTGAGGCGGATCCCTGAGTGATCAGCACTCCCTGGGGAGACTCCCCCAGCAGAGCCCTCCCTACCACTGACTCTTCAAGGAGCCTTGCCCCCTGACTGTACCCCAGGTGCTTCTGCCACCAGCCCCAGAAGAGCCTGCCCCCTGAGGCCCCTCAGCTTTCCCCCCACCTCCCTAGAAGCTTCACACACTACTCCCCCGCGCCTCGCCACCTACGACCCAGCCACCCAGGCCCGGAGCCACATCCTCCACGGGAAGCCTCTCATAAGCTCATGACATTCATCAGACCCTTGAGACAGATGGAAACTTTTTTTCACTTCGGAATGTGCTGTACTCGGCTGCTTAGCGAAGCTCTGGCCCATGTCATCTCATTCTCAGACGGGAATCTGTGTCTGGGAAAAGTGGGGAAGAGGCTGGTGACACGTGCCTTTCCGTATTCCGTAACGACCCCCTGCATGTGCATCTGTTGCTTCTCTGGCTTTGTGTGAAAGGAAGGGCTGAGGTCCATGCCAGCCTCACATGCCCGCTCAGGCTGGCAGGGGTCTCATCTGTTAAAGCTCGGGGGCTGAACTGGACGTTCTCCCGGGGTTCTGTGAGTCCTGAAACACATGCTTTCTACCTAGAGCACGAAAGGGAAGAGGGACGGTGAAGATCCAGACGGGACGGATCGAGCACTTCCTGTAAGCCAGGCACTGTCCTAGGCTTTGCGTGCAGACAGAAATCTGCACTGTCACGCAGCTCGGAATTTAGTGTCCGTGTGTCCACGGCGAGCTGGATGGGGCTGAGGAGGCACGAGGAGAGAGGGGTGGAGCTGCATGCTGTGCCCCCTTCCCCCACCGGACCTCACTATTACTCACCCCTCGCCCCTCAGGGGGGTGGTCCTGGCACCAAGGCAGAAGTGCGTAGTGGCATGTGGACTCTGGAGTCAGCTACATTGGGGTCAAATCTGGGCTACCCTACCTGCCTGCTCTGTGGCACTGGGCAAATGATTAAACCTCTTGGAAACTCAGTTTCATCTGCAAAATGATACCTGCAGGTTGCTGATACCTGCTTCGAGAAACTGCTAGGTTGAATGAGATAATGCCTGTGAAATGCTTAACACAGTGCCTGGCACAAAGTAAGTGCTCGATCATGACAGCTACGATTGTTAATTCACCCTTCCTCCAAGCTGACTTTCCTCTTCTCTCGGCCTGGAGCTTTGGAAACAAAAGGAAATCTTAAATGTGCAGGTGGCTCAGAAGCAGTGGGGTGTGAGCTTGCTGCCTGCATGGTCTGTCCTCTGAGCGCATGGCTGGCTTTCCCTTTCTCAGCCGGACTTGACAACCCCCGGCGCACCCCCTGCCGTCCCTCACGTGCCCCTCTTCCCCTGCAGGAGACGGAGGAGCTGGAGGAGGAGAAGTCGGGCCTGCAGAAGGAGATCGCCGAGCTGCAGAAGGAGAAGGAGAAGCTGGAGTTCATGCTGGTGGCCCACGGGCCTGTGTGCAAGATCGGCCCCGAGGAGCGCCGCTCACCCCCGGCCTCCGGGCTGCAGGCCCTGCGCAGTGGGGGCAGTGGAGGGGTAGGCGCCGTGGTGGTGAAGCAGGAGCCCCTGGAAGAGGACAGCCCCTCGTCCTCATCGGCGGGGCTGGACAAGGCCCAGCGCTCCGTGATCAAGCCCATCAGCATCGCTGGGGGCTTCTATGGGGAGGAGCCCCTGCACACCCCCATAGTGGTGACCTCCACTCCTGCCATCACCCCAGGCACCTCGAACCTCGTCTTCACCTACCCCAGCGTCCTGGAGCAGGAGTCGCCTGCGTCGCCCTCTGAGTCCTGCTCCAAGGCTCACCGCAGAAGCAGCAGCAGTGGGGACCAGTCGTCAGACTCCTTGAACTCCCCGACTCTGCTGGCTCTGTAACCCAGCTCCCAGAGGCGTCCTCGTCACTGCCTCCTTCCCAGGGACCAGCACCTGTCAGCACTCCAGGGCCATGAGGGTAAGAAGGGGGCCCTGCCAGAGAGCTTCCTGGTTCTGGGGAGACCCAGGTGGGATTTGGCAGTGAGGCGTTGGAGGACTTGGACGATCTCTTGGAAGTCACGGGACCTCCTCCCTCGTTCATCTTGCAAAGCAAATCCTGTTTCTTGAAAAACGTTGGACAGCTTGGTTTGGTGGACCCGGGCATCTCTCTGGCTTCCGAAGAGCCTGAAGCTGGTGTGGACCGTTCCCGCCCCTTTGTCACCATATGTCTCTGCAGTGCTGGTGTCTCTCTCTGCCCCACCGAGCATGCTCAGTGCCTTTTGGTTTCACCTTCCCACCATTTGCCCCTTCCTTCCCCCAGTGTCAATTTCACTTCCTCTTGGTTTTTATCAAATTTGCCATGACATTTCATCTGGGTGGTCTGAATATTAAAGCTCTTCATTTCTGGAGATGGGGCAGCAGGTGACTCTTCTGCTGGGGCTGACTTGTCCAGAAGGGGACAGTCAATGTGCAATACAGAACCTTTCCTCCCCTGACACTCCCGGTCCACCACCATCTCCAGATCCACCAGCAGGGCTCCCTGAGCTCTCAAGGAGATGCCGCCATCGCTGGGAGGCTTGGAGGACCCTTCCTCCCCATCCTCGGAGACGGCTTTTGGAGGAGCGGCTTGGCCAAAAGACAGGGTGTGAGTGAGACAGCCGGGGCACAGATTGGGTTTGCCAAATGCCTAATTACCGGGCCAGGAATAGTGCCAACAGTCCACATGGGTGTCTTGAGTAGGACGTCTCCTGTAATTACTGCCTTGCCGTTCTGCCCCGGACCCTTCTCTCCGGACCAGGGAGGCATCCCTCCCTAGGAGCCACAAATCACTCCAAGTCCCTGCCGGCTCTGCCCTCCCCCACCCTGCCTCTCAGGGTGATGCCACCCACGGAGGTTTAATGAGCGTGGGCCTGGCCCCTCCCCAAGCCTCAAAAGCGCCTCTGCTGTGGACAGAAATGCAGGGGGAGGAAGGAGGGAGGCAGTCGGAGTGGGGTTCGCCTCGCAGCAGCCCCAGCACCCACTTCTCACCTCTCACCCAGGTGCCTGTTCAACCCCCTGTGGTCATCTGCTACCTAATGGAGCTAGCGCTTTTGCTTTTACACTCCCCTGCCCCTCACCCCAGTGTGCTCCTCAGATCCATCAGCCAGTTGTGAGCAGCTGGCCCAGAGCTGTCACTGTGGCTTGCAGCGTACATGCCATGCTTGGGGGCTGCTGAAATCAGAGATGAGATGTGTTGCTTCCCGCTGCAAGCTAGCTGCTCCCTTCCCATGGGGTGGGGGGCAGGGAAGGGGTCCTCCAGCCTCGCCAAGAGCACAGCTCAGCAGAGCTCAGTGTGGTCCCCACCTCCCACCCCTCAAAGCCTTTTTCTCCCCAGGTTTGATCTTCCAGAATGAGCTTCTGCTGGGCTAGTGCTCTGAGGGAGACCCCGCTATTGTGATTCAGCTCTAGAGATCATTGGATGATAATTTAAAACTATATAGATATTATTTAAATCAACCCAGTGGGGGTTAGAACTCAAAGTTGGACTCCGGGGAGAGAGAGAGAAAGAGAGCAGTGACATGGTTCCCTGTTCCCCATTCCCTTCACGTACCCAGGCCTGGCACGCTGGCCGGTATTTAATGTCCATTATCCACTTTGCCATGCACTAGACACACAGAATGGAACAGCCGAATGCCTAAAATACACAGACCGCAATGACTGGGAGTGACGTGTGGAGAGAGAGGGCATGAAAAGAGAGGAGATTAAAAGAAAAAGTATTTTGTCCCCAAATGCTTTAAAAATGTTATTTCCCACATTCCTTGGCTGTGACGCTGCCCTCCCAGTTCCCCAGAGGTTCTGGGAGGGGCGCTCCTAATCAGATCGGGCCACTGGGTTTCTCTGGCTTCAGATTAATCAAGGATGCGGAAGTCAGCAAGGAGTAGCAGGAGACGGGCAGAGAGCTGGGGTGCGCTCAGCTCTGAAAGGCTTAATCATCTCAAGTGGTGTTTGTGGCCAATTGGGAGCTATTTGCTTCTTTTTGCATATATATATATGTATATATATACATATATATATATATATACATATATATATTTCTTAAATGAAGCTGCTTTCTGGTGTTTTATTTCTAAAAGTCCCTTTGTGCCCCACTTTGCACAGCCCTAATCCCAAGGCAGGTGCCGGTATGTGACTTGGGGCCGGGCTGGACATGCCTGAGACAGTGTCTGGCTTTCGTTCCGATTTCAAGCTGCGTTGGCTTTGGGACCAGCAGAAAGCAAAACCCCAGCCGCCTCTCAGGATCTTGAGGCCTCCGGAGCTGTGTTTCTATTCAGGACCCTCTAGCTTTGTTCTGGCAGGTAGTCTGGCTTCCCCAAAGCCAGAGGTTATTCGGAGAAGGCTGAATGTTCACACCTAATGCACTAGTGTACCCTCAGTCACTTCCTCCTGGCTGTTCTCCAAGTTCACACCAGACCCAGGCCTGCCTCCTCCTCTTCCCCCTCAGGGAGCAGCTGCAGGGAGGAGGCCCTTGTGCTCGGGCAGGGAACCCTGTGCTCCCCCTGTGTCCCCAGCCGTGAGGCAGCTGGTGTGGACTCCAGTTGGGCTGCAGGCAGCTCTGGGATGGCATAGGGCAGGCACCCATTGACAGGCTGGTGTGAAACACACCGTCCCCTTGGCCACCTGGCTGGCCTCTCTGGGAATAGTCCTCTTCCTGGCTGGGTGGATGGGGACAGCTGCTGACACGGGAAAGAGAGGAGGTCCCAGGTGAAGTTTAGGCGATTGCCAGAGCCAACTCAAAGCAGAGAGTTCACTGAGGCAGTTTTCAGAAAGAAGTCATTGTTCTGCCTGTGAGACAGGCCAGGTGTCTTCACTGTGCCCAATAACACAAGCATCTCAACGCCAAGAACCATCAGAGGCTACTGGTTCCCTTTCTCAGGCTTTGGGGGAAGGAGTCTCCTCTCTGCTCCCACATGGCTCCATTTTAAGGATGAGCTCAACTTAACAGGCGTTGGGACTTTTCTCCCATTTCCCTGATGGACCACCAGTGCTTCTTGCAGTCTCATCTTGTAACTTTCAGGTTGATTTCTTCCTCTGATAAGACATCCACGTGGCCTCTTTAAGAAGCAAAAGAAGAACACCTACTATGTGCCAGACCGCTGTGCTAGGCACTTTTATATATATACCTTCTTTAGGATGAGACTGAGCCATGAGGACTTCCCTTATTAAAAGCCCACAAGTAATGATTAAACAAAAACACTTGGAGGTGAGAAGGTCTTTCTCCAAAGGTCCAAGGCAAGATTGCCTTCGATCCGAGGTTTGTTCTCAAAGACCCACCCCCTACAATATCCTTCCACCTCTAAACTTGTTTTCCCTGTGATGTGCTCCTTTGCACTCTTCAGATGGTTGACCTGAGTTTTATAGAATTTGTGGACCAATAGGAGACGTGGTGTGTGTAACTTTCTTTTAAAAACTTAAGTAAAGGGGTCTTGCTATTTTCTGCTCGTTGGGTCTTCTCGCCATTCATCTTAAAAGCCAGCATCTCACTATTTATTGACAGGTCGTGTGTGTGTGTGTGTGTGTGTGTGTGTGTGTGTGTGTGTGTGTTCGTGTGTACATTTCTAAGTGTGCCCATGTCCTCCTGCACCTTTTAAAAAGGAAACCCAGTCACCCCACTACCTATTTGACATCTTTTCATGCTTCTAGTATTTCGGTCATACAACAAAAAGGGTTTTAATTTTCTAATGCTGACATGTTCAGGAGGAGCTGGGTCAAATTTTGAGCGGGGCGTGGGAAGGGGAGGGGGAGAAGAAATTGACATTTATTTTATTATTTATTTTAAATGTTTACATCTTTGTGTTGTACCAAGCCTGAATAGAAACAGATAGCATTAAAATGCTCAGTTCCTCTCCCCCTCTCTTCTTCTTTATAATTTTTTTTAAAAATTTAGGCTAATGATACTTTTTTTGTTTCTAAAATGATTTGTGACTTGTGCTGTATAAACTGTATAAAAAAAGGTCTGTTTTTAAAGATGGACTGTCATTCCTCTAGGGACAGTGGTCACCAAGAAGTCTACATTGTAAGAGAACCTGCCCTGTTCCTCAAAAAATTATTTTCTCTGTGTGATTAAAAGTTTATTCCATTTATTTTAGTTTGTGGTTACTTGATATTGAGGAAGAAAATCTTCACCTTTGTATAAAGAATAGGTATCAGGGTGTCTTTTCTGCAGTGAGAGATGTATATATAGTATTTTGGATATAGTAGACAATCATAAGCTTTGTGCATCTGTATTTGAGGTATGTCAATGATGTGGAGTAAAGACTGCTATAAGATCCTGGAGGCAAAAAAAAGTTGTACAAGATTCCTACAGCTTGATGGGGAATTTATCTTTCTGAACACCTTGTTTTCTTTCTTTTTTTAAGTATTGGTGGAATGGTCCCATTGGAAAGGCTTCTAAATAGGCCTCTCCAGGCAGGACTGTGAGCTCAAAAATCTTTGTATACTTTTGAAAATTGAGGAGTAGCTCTGCTCTAAAGCATCTCTGGTGGTGTTTTGTTGTTGTTGTTCTGTTTTGTTATTTTACTGTAATACAAGCCTACAGTATTTGCACTAAAGAAAGCTTGTTAGAAAAAGCTTGCTGCTATGGAAGAGAGAACATATTACAACTTTTTTTCCTTTTTTTTTTTTTTTTTTTTTTTTTTTTTTTTTTCCATTAGCTTCTCCACTTTCAATTGAGTAGCATTTTGTAGAATAAAATGAATTAAGATTGAAGAGCCTCTGATGGTTGGTTTATTCTGTGTTTTCTTCCCATCTCTCCTGTCACGTCTCCTTTTTTCTTCTAGACTTTTCTACCTTTGGCCCCGTGGGCAGAGTTGGTCTCTCTGGTGGGAGTGGGGAAGCAAGGAATGGCTCCCCGGGAACCTCTTTCTGCAAAACTGGGAGGTGAGCTGCTGGGAGGGGCTTAGACCTTCCCCGCCTCCTCTCTCTTGCTTCTTTCTCTTCTTGACCCTCTCCAAACCCTCCCAGTCCTGTTTCCCACTTCTCAGGGCCTGATTCTCAGCTGGCTGCCTAGTGCAAGCCACTAATGTTTCACAGTGCTGTCCCTTCCTGGGGGTACTTTGGATTATATTTCAACAAGGTTGACTCTGGAAACTCAAGAATCTTCAAAAAACCAATTTAAGGTATCGCTCAGATGGTCCAGGTGGTCACGTGAGGTCACGCGCAGGAAAGGCCTCTAGAAACAACCAAGGTGTGCAAATAAGTGGGGTGATCACATCTCCGGACTTCCTTTTTGAATAGAGCCAGTTTGTTGGGTGTGGAACACTGAGAAGTGTCAGCCAGATCCCATTGCCCTGTAGACCAGGAAACCCCCGGGGGAAATGGGGGAGCATCTATTCTGGGTGCTCGTTCCCTTTAATATAAACAGTAGGGAGGC